TGTGTGTGTGCGTGCGTGCGTGCGTGCGTGCGTGCGTGCGTGCGTGCGTGCGTGCGTGCGTGCGTGCGTGTGCGTGTGCGTGTGCGTGTGCGTGTGCGTGTGCGTGTGCGTGTGCGTGTGTGTGTGTGTGTGTGTGTGTGTGTGTGTGTGTGTGTGTGTGTGTGTGTGTGTGTGTGTGTGTGTGTGTGTGTGTGTGTGTGTGTGTGTCGCAGTCGCGTTTCCCCAGCCTCCTGCGCCGGTTCGGGGGGGGGGGGCGGTCCTCGGGGGTCCGATGCCAGTTCGGGGGCCCCAAACGCAACCCGCAGCACCTGCGGACCAAACGACGTCATCAGAAACAGCTCGGACAAGAAATCGATTGTCCGCGCCCCGACAAATTGTTTTTTTCGGGCCCCTCCGAACTCTCCCCGGCCAAGATCCCCCCCGAGCGGCGCCCGAATCCTGAGCACACCGGCATCAATTTGTCGAGCTCCGAAATATCGCTTTCCCGGGGCCAGTGTCGGGGAGGGCGCCGGGCAGCACTGGACTTCATGTTTCGAGGTCGCCCTGAAGAAAACTTAATCGTAAAATAAACCTTTTTGGGTGTATGTCGGGGTCGCGCTCCCCCAGCCCTTTGCGCCGGTTCGGGGGGGGGGGGGGGGGCGGCCCCTTCGGGGCCCGCGCCAGTGTTGAGGGGCCCTGCACCCCGCAATACCTGCGGCAGAGATCCTGATGGGGCTCTTTTCGGGGCCCCGTCGGGGCTGGCCGCGGAACCGCGAGGCCGCAGCAGCGCGGCAGCAGCGCTGCAGCAACGCAACGACGACGACGGCGGGGCGGCGGCGGCGGCCTCGGGAGGCCGTTTCCGGACCCCGGGGCACCGGCCAAACCGGCCCGGTCGGAAAAAACAAACCGAACCGAACCGGGCGAACCGAACCGGCCGAACCGGACCGGTCTGCGACGCGAACCGAACCGGTGGAATCGAACCGGTCTGCCACGCGAGCCGAACCGGACGAACCAAACCAGGCGCGCATCGAACTGAGCCGAACCGAACCGAACCGCGGCTTTCATGGTCTAGGGCACTTGTGAGTCTGTTGTGAGCCTTTGGGCGCCCGTTGTGAGCCTTTTGGGAGCCTGATGGGGGCTTATGTGCCCTCTCGGGCTGCCTTGGCGTTCTCTTGGACTGTCTTGGGGCTCTCCTGGGCAGTCCCAGGGCCTCTTCGGGCGCTCTCCAAGGCCTCTGGGCGCCCATGGGGGGCCTCTTGGGGGTCTCTTCGGGCGCTCTGGGGGTCCCCTGGGAGGCCTTCGAAGGCCTCCCTGGACCGGCTTTGAAGCCCTCCGGGAACGATCCCAAGACAATTCAATGCTGCTTCGGAAAGCTCTCCAACACCGAATGTTTGAGGATGTCCCAGCGAAACGGCTACTTGTCCGGAATCCGCCAGCGAGGTCCGGGATGCGCCCCGTACCCTTCAATTAGAGAAAATTGAGCCCCAAAACCAACGGTGCACGCCGAAGGCGCTTCCCGTCATCCGCCACCGTGCCTCGAGTCCTCTCACTCCCCCTCTGAGCCTGAGTCCTCCCTCATGAGGAGTCTTTATAAGATTCGGAGCTCTTTGGCCCGAATCTTCTGGGGCGTGGCGCGGTTCCCCTGGGCTCCAGCGCGGTCTGTCGCATGACCTTCTGGGGCCCAAGCCAGCCCCCAGACGGGCCAACAGAGCTCCAAGAGGCACCCCAAGGCGGTCCCAGAGGGTTCCGACTGCCCCAAGATCCTCAAGATGCCCCAAGAGGCCTCCGAGAGGCTTCCGAGGAGGACCCCCACGACAAAGTCACTGATTATCCGCATTTTTAAAAAATGGTTTTTGGACTTCTGGCCGTTTCGGGCTCCGACGCTCCAAGACGGAGGCCTCCCAGACCGCCCCAAGACGGCCGAAGAGGCCGCCAGGATGCCTCCAAGACGGCCCAAGAGGGCCCCAAGACGGCCCAAGAGGCGCCCCAGAGAGCCCCCAGACGGGGCCAAGAGGGGCCCCGCAAAGGGGCAACACAAAATTCGAGCCTTCCGCCCCGACAGGGCCCCCCAGAGGCCCCAAGAGGCTCCAGAGAGGGACCCTTGACGGGCCCAGGGGCGCCGACAACGGCCCAAGAGAACCCCAAGTCGGCGCCAAACGGGGCCCGAAAGAGAAAACCGACACCGAAAATCAAAGCCTTCCGCCCCAAGAGGCTCCACGAGGCCCCAGGAGGCCCCCAAGAGTCCCCAAGAGGCCCCAAAGAGGCCCAACAGAGGCCCCGACCAAAAATCCAAGAGGCATCCAAACTGCCTCCACGAGGTCACTGAGAAGCCTCCCACCAAATCCCAACGAACATCCGATAGGCTTCATACACATTACCCAGTCACGGTGGCGGGATGGACCGAAGTCCATTTGATCCGCCGTCCCATGTCGATTCATCGCAAGGGTGCCTGGCGTGCTAGACCCTTTCGGTTTTGGTGTTGTTTCATTTTCCAGAAGAACTCCCCCTGAGGCTTCGGCCCGTCCCGCTGGCCACCCGGAAAGATCTTCCAGCTTGCCCAGAGGGGGTTGCGAAGGGTTTCGCCTTCTCCAGACGGCCCTAAGACGGCCCAAGATGGCCTCCAAGACGCCTCCAAGACGGCCAACATGGCCTCCACGACGGCACCAAGATGCCTCCAAGATGGCCCAAGATGCTTCCAAGACGGCCTAAGATAGCCTCAAGATGATTCAATACGGCCCAAGAGGCCCCCAAGAGCCCCCCAAGACGCCTCCAAGAAGTCCTCCAGGAGGGCCCGAAGAGGCCAAAGCATAGGTTGCTTGAAGGATTTTGGCATTTGCTACTTTTCGGCCTTCCGAAGACCTCAAGGCGGCGCAAGAGGCCCCCAAGATCGCCCCAAAATCGCTCACGATGCCTCCAACATGGCCCCATGACGGCCCAAGGGGCCTCCAAGACGCCCAAGATGCCTTCAAGACGGCTAAGATGGCCTCAAAATGCTTCCAAAACGGCCCAATATTCACCCAAAACGGCATGAAATAACCTCCAGATGGCCTAAGACGGCCCAAGAGGCCCCCAAGAGGCCTCCAAGACGACCCAAGAGGCCTCTAAGAGGTTCCTCAGGAGGGCCCGAAGAGGCCAAATTCATTGATTTTCCTAAGGTTGTTGAAAGATTTCGGCATGTGCTTCTTCTCGGCAGTCCGACGGCTCAAGACGGCGCAAGAGGCCCCCAAGATCGCCCACCAGGCCTCCAAGATGGCCGCATGACGGCCCAATAGATCCCCAAGACGGCCCCAAGAGGGCCCAAGAGGCCTCCAAGACGCCCAAGATGGCCGCCAAGACGGCTAAGATGGCACCAAGATGCATCCAAGACGGCCCAAGATGCACCCACGACGGTCTAAGATGGCCTCAAGATGGCCCAAGAGGCCCACAAGAGGCCTCCAAGACGGCCCAAAAGGCGTCCAGGAGGTCTTCCAGGAGGGCCCGAAGAGGTCAAAATCATTAATTGTCCCAAGGTTTTTGAAAGACTGTGGCATTTGCTTCGTTTCGGCATCCCGACGGCTCAAGACGGCGCAAGAGGCCCCCAAGATCGCCCAATGGGCCTCCAAAATGGCCTCATGACGGCCCACGAGGCCCCCAAGACTGCCCCAAGAGGGCCCCAACACGGCCGACGAGGCCTCCAAGAAGCCCAAGATTGCCTCTAAGAACCCATGCTATGCCACAAGAGGGCCCCAAGGCGACCCAGATAGGCCCCCAAGACGGCTTCCGACGGCGTCAGAGAAGGCAGGAACACCCTAAGACGGCCGAAGGCCAACAAAAACCTTCCAAGAGGCCCCCAGGAAGCTCCCAGGAGGCACCAAGAGTGCCCAAGAGGCGCCCAAGAGGCCTCATCCTCCTCATCTTTTGTCCTCCTCCTCTCCCTCCTCCGTTTCTTGTTACCCCATGCGTTGTCCGAAGTCTTTCCAAACCGACTCGGTGAACAACTGGCCCGCTGGCCCGATAGCTTGGCCAAGCTCTGTCCCAGCTGTCGGCCACAGAGGCGCTTCCAAAGGGGCAGGGGGCGGCGGTGATTCGCCGTAGACGTCTTCGATAGCACGGTTTGCGCAGAGCCCGCGCCGTCCGACGCAGCTTCCCTGGAGGGCGAAGCGTGGTACTGGCACGGCTGGTGCAAGCGGAAGGGCACGAATCCTCGGAAATAACACGGATTGCGAATAGCCCACGCCGTGTGGCATGCATGCAATCGGAAGTCGGAATTGGATGTAGAGGGCGGCAATCGGACGTGCATGTAGAAAGAAGGAGGAAGAGGAGGAAGAGGAGGACGAGGAGGAAAAGGAGAAGCAGGAAGGATAGTGGCGACAATGTTCTCAGAAATTATATAAACTGCTCAAAAAATGTGTGAAAATAATGGGAGGCCTGGCTGCCAGACTACGTGTGAGAGCCGTCAACCTGGGCGCCACAAAGCCGAGAGATTCATTCCGCTTTGCTGCGGCAACTAGAAGTCCCCTGACTCATCCTGCAGCGTCGGAAGACGATGATCAGAGGAGGATGAGGTCCAGCGTCGTAAGGAAGATGAGCGGAAGAGGAAGATGATGTAACGAGAAGGTTGGATCTGCTTATAAACAGCGGCTGGATCTACACAGGGGTCTCAAGCAGACTGGCTGCGAAGCGGGCGCTGACCCGGATGGACGAACACCCGGCACTGCCGCCGCCAGCTGGGGACACGCAGCGATCTCCCTACACGGAAGCTCGAACCATCACTCCACCTCCTCCTCCTCCTCCTCCTCCTCCTCCTCCTCCTCCTCCTCCTCCTCTTTCTCCTCCACTAGGGAAACGAGCAGTGGCATAAGCATGAAAACTCGGAGGTCCGCGCGGATTTCTCGGATCCGCGCTGGGCCCGCCTGGCGGCGCCTCCGGCGCCACCCCTGGCGCGCTCCGTGCGCCAGGGAGGGGAGTCAAGCGCCGATCCGAGAAATCCGCGCGGACCTCCGAGTTTTTGTGTTTGTGTCATTGTTCGTTCCCCTATCCACCTCCTCCTCCGTCGCCCCACTGAGCCAGGCGTCTAGAATCTACACGGTCTCCTGGGCACCCGCCGGGCACGCATCCGACAGGGCCAGGGCGACGTGCCAACACGCCCCTCGGATCGCGTCCCTGCTGCTGCCGGTCGCCGCCTGGACGATTTGAGCGGCATTGGCCACGCGGGAGCCTGCCCTGAACGCCGGCACCGTTCCCATCGCCCGCGCGTAGACACCCTCCCACTCGGGCGCCCCGAGCCGCTCGGGGCAGACGTCGTGCAGCTGGAGCAGGCCCGCGCGCACGCAGCAGAGGCCCAGCAGGCCCGTGGCAGAGAGGCGGGGGGCCGACTGGCCGAGCGACGCCACGTGCATCACCACGGCAAGGCTGCACGTGTAGCTCCGCTGCCACATCTGCGTCATGACCGCCTCGAACTCGGACTCCTCGCGGTTTGCTGGCTGCTGCTTGGTCAGGACCCTGAGCCGCGAGAAGAAAGTGGCCAGCCACCAGTGGAGCGACGGGAGCCAGACCTGCCAACCCAAGCAGAACAAGATGCGGCTCTCGGCGCTGTTGATGTCTTCTGGCAACACAGGCTGCACGGCCATACCGTGCTTCCACAATACCTCCGTCAGCTTCGAGAGATGGTTACTGGGCAGCGTGAGCGTAGCATCTCTCATCTTCCACAAGATCCTCAGCACCGCGGTAGCGTGTGATGTAGCATGATGAGCGAAGTTCAAGCCGCGTGCAGCCAGGATGTCGCACATGTGCATGCTGTCGAACCAAACCTGCTGGAGAACATCTGTACGGATGGTCCCACCACACCCGTGTGCGATGGCGGACAGAAGATGGCGGAGGAAGCGCCCCAGGGCGAGCCTGCGAGTGCCGGCAATAGGATGTGCGTCTTTCCCTGGCACTGCCATGCGCCTCTCGACCAGCGCGCGGCTCTGGAGATGGGGGGTGGACACCCCGCAGAGCTCGAACTGCTCCTCCACGTCGTCTGCAATGGACGGCGCCATGGGCTCGCACGCCTCGGCCATTACAGCGCCGGGCGCCGCGCACCACGAGGCGCTCCCTCGCAGGTGGGCGCCCTGCGCTCGAGGCCGCCGCGGCTTGAGCTCAGTCACTCACGGATCAGGAGGAGGACGGGGGCCGAAAGGGGGGGCTGGCTGGCTGGCTCTCACTAGGGGAATCAAAAGTAACATAAACATAAAAACTCTGAGGTCCGCGCGGATTTCTCGGATAGGCGCCGGGGCCCCCCCACGGCGCCTCCGGCGCCGCCCCTGGCGCGCTCCGCGCGCCAGGGAAGGGGGTCCAGCGCCGATCCGAGAAATCCGCGCGGACCTCCGAGTTTTTATGTTCATGTCACTTTTTGTTCCCCTACTCGTAGACGATCGGGTGTATGTGACATCGGCGTCGGATCGAAGATGCATGCTTTTCATCGGATGCAGGCTCCCGATGGCAGCACCACAAGCTCCTTGGCCAAGGCGGGGCATGCACGGCCCGATGGACGCTGCATGGGCGATGATCAGGGGTCGATATTTGCTTCCTCGGAGACGATCCCCCTTCCGCCGTCCCTGCGAGGAGGCATCAGGGGAGGAGGCATCACTGCCACGAAAGGGCGCGACTGCCACAAGCAGGGCGTGTGGCGAGCTCTTGCCACCACGACTTCGGCTGCTCTTCGGGTCTTTTTTTTTTTTTTTTTTTTTTTTTTTTCCCCCGCAGGGTAGAACGCAAAACGTTTTATCATCCATGGAGGAAGCGAGCGGCTTCCTCCTCAGGATCAAGACCTTGCTCTGGGGCAGCAGACCCCTGGGCATGGTCAAGGGACCCACGGACCTCGGGCTCCAGTGTATGCGGACGCAGCACTGGAGCCCTCAAAACTTGCTCCTGGAAACCTCGAGCCTCCTCTCGAGCTGCAATCCGCTGCCTCATCCCCTCCAGTCCTGGAATTAAAGCCGTGCCTGGAAGATCACCTTGAGGAGGCTGTAGCCACACAGCGCGTCGTGGGCGCTGCTGGGTCTGAAGTAGCCTCTGGCGCTCCAGATCACTTAGTATGTGGAGCACAACACCTGGTGCGGCACGATTGGACTGGGGGTGGAGGCCTCGGAGCATACGATTGAGACGACATTTGCTGGCCGAAGACACCACATAGCCTCGGCACTTCTTCTCGAGCTGGCGACTGAGACGCTCAGTACTGTAGGCGCCGCATCGCCTGCAAAAAACCAAACTCGGACCTGACGAGAGTCGTGTGTAGACTAGGTCATGCCCGAGGGGGGGCTGTCCCAGGAAAGAGAAGTTGTGTCTCCTCCCTGGGCAGCCCGACATGTCAAGAGCATTAGCACAAGTACCTGTACGGCGCGCATGACAGTCGTAGCAAATGAAGGAGCCTGGTGCACCAGGGACGGACGTCCATGCATGCCATCGGTTAGCACCTGCACTCCTAGGGCAAGGAACCTTTCTCCGTTCAGGGAACTGGGAAAAAGGAAAAAGGGGCAAAACCGTCCCCATCACACGGGCCACCGCACGGGCCTTGGCAACCAGGGCCGAAAGGTCATCCCAGGACTCTTGAGGTTCCTGTGCGTGTAGTGCTAAGGCCTCCTTCGCGAAACGATCCGCATGGAAGTTGGCCAGTCCTATCCTACGCTCGTCTGGTGGGAGAGCGTCAATTACATCCATGCTACGGTGGGCAGGGGTGTGGGTCGCAGGGCCAACGTTTTTCGAGCCTTGGATCTCCCAAAAACCCCTTCGCAGCCCAGCATATTTGTTCCTGGAAGATATCTGCAGGGCAGCCGACTGATTATGGTAGCGCACGGGACCCAGACAGTCCGAAAAAACTCCAAGCTGATGCGTCAGCTGCCCGACAAAGAAACTTATGGCAACTAAGCCCATGTGCTCAGCCGCCTGAGGGGTCTGCGGCAGACTTGGCCATACCGGCCCACGAAACCTCGCCAGAACTTCCTCCGAGCCTCGCTCAAGGAAAACTCCAGCAAAGGATGCTCTCGCAAGCTCGCGTATCGGAGGCCTCGTGCACGACCCATCGACGACGACATCGCTGGCACCCTCGATACACGAGAAGTCCGATAGGACATTTCCTTGCGCATCCAAGAGCTCGGGATAGACCCAATCAGTAGGAGGCTGAAAGGTGAGAGAGGGATGAAGAAAGATGAGGCGGGTCCAAAACGGGTTCGTCGGACCAGCTTCCAAAGCCTCCTGGACAAGCTCTGGGGTGGCAGCCTCTCCTCGGGCCTGTGCAACCTCGGGGCTTGGGCACGCCCAGAGCCTGTGAAAGACACTATCAGGGGTCCCACAACGCGGACAGAGACCTTCATCTATGTTTAATCTGTCACACGTGAACACAGCCTTACAAAAGCAGCTAGCTACGGCATACTTCTGCCTGGGTGTATACTTCTTAGACGTGCACACTATGTCACGCACAATGTCAGAACAAAAGCGTGCATGCTCAAAATTATCTACAGTGTGTGCCATATCACATTCATGCTTACGCTGAACAGCATCACGAAGGAAACCCTTGAGCATGTTAGGAGCCGTGTACATGAGCGAGATCTCCACCCCCTTATCATCCTCCCAGAGAGCGAAGTTCTTAGCAGACCAGCCCACACGTCGGAGAGATAGGAGCATCCGCGAGATCGGTCCTTTCGTGTGTCGCCATCTGTGATGTGGCTCCAATCTCTCCTGGACTATGTGAAACATCTGATGTAGCTCTCGAATGCTGAAGAGAGCGCGCTCTGGTGCAACCAGGGCCTGCCAGACTGCCACACTCCATGCAGCTGCGGGTGCAACACTGACGTCGGCCATCGGGTCGCCGTGGAGCACAATCTTCGACAACAAAGATCCACCCCTATGCGATGGAGAGCGAAAACTGAGCAATGTGGCACGAGCTCGCTGTAGCTCGTAGTCTGACATCCCAAGCACAGAGCTGCCATAGGCAAGAGCTGGTTTGAGGCCCGCCTGATGTATTACTGCCATTCTATGTTTCCCGTGAGATAACCATTTACGAAATCGAAGAACCCGAGAGTGTCGAAGGCGAAACTGTCGAAATCGTTCACGACGCTTTCGGAGGGCCCCTTTTGTCATCCGAACCTGTGCTGGTGTAAAGTCAACCCCGAGATTCACCGACGAGTGGGTTATGGTGCCTGCTGGGAGCCCTCGGAGCTGAAGTTGATGTGCTAACGCCTTAGCTAAGGAAAGTGAGCTGGCGATCGTAATAGCTTTAGTTTCCGATATGTCGGCTCGAAGCTGTCCCCGAAACGTATGATAAAAGTCCTCAGCCGCATCTGGAACCAATCTGAGCAACTCAGCCTTAGTACCCGTCGCCATGATCGTGTCATCGTCAACATACGACGAAAGCCGAATAGGATGTGGAAAGCGAGCCGTAAACGCGTCGAAGGCCCCGATCGCATATACCTTTACGAAAGCATCGTTGAAAATATCCCCTGCAGGTAGACCGCTCTGAGCAAAAAGTGCAACTGGATGGAAGGAGATGCCCAGCCTAATCAGCCGCGGAGAGCGCCAGAGGTTGTACATCGTTTTAACAATCACCCCTGGGATACCCCATTGTCGTGCTCGATCGCGCAGGCGTTCCAGACAGAAAGACTCGTAGTATTTTTTGCCGTCCCACTGGACCCCCAGGACCACCTGATCATCCGCCGCGGCAATCTCTCCAAGGGCCGTCTGGGCCCACACACATGACTCCGCGCTCTTCCCAGACCCAAAGGCCCAATAGGCCCTCTCCGTGGCCGCAAAGAAAGGATCCAGCATGGGACGGCGGAGCCTCTCCCATACACGAACAAAGCTGGCCAGCAAGAGGATGGCACGGTGCCCTCCCGCTGGCTTCTCGATAAGTGGGAATACCATCCACATGAAGTGACGAGGAAAGAGTCCTAGTCGTTCAACTGCTTCGAACAATGCACTGAGGGTCTCCAGAGCTGGATCACCCAAAAGCGATATATGTCGCGGATGAAAGCCATCCAAAGTCGATGACGTGAACTGGCAAAAGGACCGAGAAGCACTCCGCAGCTCATCAGCAGTGGCCCGTGGGAAGCATTCGCGATCAGGTACTTCAGCACGTGGGGGAGACGTCGATGCGTTCCACTGTCGCTGCAGCATCCCGACCTCCGAGTTGAGCACCTCCTCGGGACTGCTGGAGTAGATTCCAGGAGCCTTCTGAATCACTGTGGGGCACCATATCTTCTGGAGTCGCGTGATCTTATGCATCAATTTGGCCGAACCCTTGAGGGCAGTGTCGCACCACTCCGTCCACGTCTGCTGCCGTAAGCGTAATGATTCTTTCGTAGCTGCTTCAAATTCCACAGACAGATATTCACCAAAGAGAGTAGCCCGCTCCCACCATTCATGAGGGTAAACTTCGGGGTACTCGTGGATGAGCTGTCTCAAAGCGATGACCTGTGAGTCGAGCCTGACGTCCAAGCCCTCGCCAGGGTAATTCTCCACAAGACAAGTCTGCTTAAGAGAAATGGCAGCCGTGTTCAGGTGAAGCTCATCTCGCTGCTGAACCATCAGCTCAAACTCATGCCACACACGGTACAGCCACTGCCAACCGCGAGCTATGAGCATCGGATCCTGTGCGTGATCCTTGCGTCCCAAGACTGGTACCCATCGTCGTGCAAGATAGTTATGCCTGGTGAGCTTCTGGATGGGGAAGTCCAAGGCAGCTGCAATCTCGATCTCGGCATCTTCGAGAAAAACAGTCCATGCTTGATTGAGCCTAGCCCACGCTGTGCCCACCGAATCAAACTCTGCTGAGTACACTGCTTCGTCCGCCATCTGTCGCGCTGCCACACAGCATCGTGGTTCGGGACGTGGACCAAAGGGAGGGAGTACAGGGAAACGTGTATGCGCACAGAAGACCAGTTGCCGTAGGTTGACCGCATCAGGGCGAAGGTGGAGTCGGACGGGCTTGTGAGGTCCTCCATGCCACTGTGAGTACACACGAACCTTCTCGGTTGCCCTAACGATGTCCTGAGATGCCAGGAAGAAATCAATCGTACTAGCCGATGCCGACATAATGCACGTGTGCCGAGTTGGTGCCATAGTGATAAGTCCAGCCTTACGCGTGAAACCACTCTGCTCAATGACCTCAGGCTCAACATTCCAATCAGCAGCTGCCAAAAACGATCCAGCAGAGCGGTTGATGGAGGCCCCAAGTACCGACAACAGGTTCATATTGGCCATGTCCAACCCAACACTATCATGAAAGTATGCAGAATACACTACGAGCTCAGGCCATCCTGGAATATCAACAACTGCTGAAATCAGTCGGCCTTTAACGAGCTCACCACCAGTAGGGTTCCATCGCAGTCCAAGATGCTGCCGAGCAAATATGGCCACCCCCGCTGAGTGTGAGCCACGAGCACAACATCGCGACGGACTGCATAAAGCTCGGAAGCCTGCGGTGCGGGCGGCACGCTGAAGGTCGGGCACTGTATCAGGGCCAGTACCAATATCCTGCGCACAAACCACCATCGAATCACTAGATCGTAATCGTTCGAGGAGCGTAGCTCGGCAATTACCATTGAACGTTTCCAGAAACTGTGGGCCAGCAGCAGCAGCCGAAAACGACTTTGAACCCTTGTGCTGCGGAACGATGTGGCCCATAGACGATACTGGGAGACCGCTCAGGTAGGGAAGGTTAGGAAGGCGACGTGCGTTGCCGCTTGACTCCCAAAGCCGCCAGCTGCTCCTCAAACTCACGCTTATCTTCAGTCTGGAAGAGGGTATCGATATCATCAGCGGACAAGCCCGAGTACTGGGCCTGCGGCATGGGAGCATCCTTTTCCTCAGAAGGTGCTGCGGCAGCAGGAAGGTCGGCGGCAGCAGCAGCCCCACCTCCCCCATCGCCTCCGCCTTCAGCAGTTGCGTCGGGGGGGAGGAGGAGGAGGAGGAGGAGGAGGAGGAGGAGGAGGGGGGGTCTTGCCCGCGAAGGGGGGGCTAGCGAATGAACTCACGTAGCGGATTTCTCCAGCGCCTCCAGGCGCCGGAGGCGCCAATGCATCGAGACAGGGCTCGACCAAAACAACGTTTTTCGTCTTCGTTTGTGATCGTTTTCTCTCGCTGTGCCTTCAATCCGCCTTTGCTGCAAAACGGCATCGAAACAAAAACGGCCCACGAAATCGCCCAGACACCGTCCAGGTCCACCCCTGCATCGAGAGAAATGCTCCCGGCGGCGGGGCAGAAACCAGCTCCATGCGGCAGATTCCGAACCCCCGCCTTTCCCCCCTGTCGTCCGCCCCGACCTCTGACACCGCGCGCGACGGTGTCGGAGGGAGGAGAAGCGATACCAACACCACCAGGGGGCCCACCTCCAGCGAGGAGGTCCACGATGCCTCCCCAAGCTGGATGCTGGGGGGGACCACACCACCAGGAAGACTCCCCTTGCCTCCTCGCATCTCCTCGCCCTGCTGGTGTTGGTGGCCTTTCCTTGCAACCGATGCCCGAAGGACGGGGTGCCACGCGACCGTGCTGTCCGCGGGTCCGGCCGCGATAACGTCCGGCTCGCCGTCGCCGTCGATGTCGGCGGCGTACACGGACCTGCGCCACCGTCGTCGCCGCCGCCACCGCCTCGCGTTGGTCTAGAAGAATCCCCCAAAACGGCATCAACAGAAACTTTTGGCGCTCCGAGCGGACTTATTGGATCTGCGCTGGACCCCGCTCCCTGGCGCGCTCCGCGCGCCAGGGGCGGCGCTGGAGGCTCCGCCGGGAAGCGGAGCGCCACAAGTTTATGTTCGTAGCATGTGTTCTTCTTCGATGGTCGCCCTCGTCCCTCCCGTCCGCCTCCTCGTGTCACTCCTTGCCGGGGAGGCGCCAAACTCGAACATGTGGGGGGCTCAGGTTTGCCCGATAGGGCAGAAAGAAACATGGCGGGAGGCAGTCTGAAAACGGCCGCCGGATCCGTCACAAATCTCAGACAAGCCTGCCAGACAAACATCTCAAGAGAACCCAAGCGTCAGAGTCTACACCCGGACATGCTAAAGCTCTGGCAAACCAGAGTTTCGGTAAACGCGAATCTGGCGTCTCCCCGATCGCTCTGCTCCTCTTCTTCCCCACTTCTTCTTCTTCTCCCCCCTTCATCTTCCCGCGTCATCCTCTTCTTCTGCTCTGGCTCCCCTCTCTCCGTGCGCGCGGAGGAGGACGAGGAAGAACAGGATGACAGTTCGAGACAACGACGACCATGGGAGCAGCATGACTACCGCAGAAGTCAGGCAGGACGCACCCAAATGAAACCAAGAGCTCGAAAACTCGGGACTGGCCCTCAGAAGATAAGCTCAGCACGATATTCGAGGTGGACACAAGGACATGCGGTAGGGAGGGAAGCGGTGGTGTAGGAGAGAAAATCTGCGCGGAGCGCCAAGCAGTCCGCGCGGAGCGCGGATCCAAGAAATCCGCGCGGAGCGCAACAAAAATTATGCTTATGTGGTCTTGTCTTTTTGGAGTCCCGAAACGGTGCGGTGACAGACCGTGCGGTGACCTCGGAACCCCAAGAGACCTCACCGCACGGTCCGTCACCGCACGGTCTTGGGACCCTGGAGGCTCCTGTCGCCCGAGACATCCTCGGAGAGGACTCGAGTCCCGAAACCGTGCGGTGACCCCGACTCCCCACCGACTCACCGCACGGTGTGGTCACGACAACGTTTAGGGGCCCCCGAGAGTCTTCGTCGACTCTGTCTCGGGTCGGGCGAAAGGGGGGGATAGCAAAGGGGGGGGTTGAGAATCAGCTCACCTAGCTGATTTCCCCAGCGCCTCCTGGCGCCGGAGGCGGCTCTGTATCGAGGAATGGGCCCCTCGGCGAGGCCGAAACCCGCTGCATGCAGCAAATTTTGTAACCCCCCCTTTCCCGATCCCCCTGTCGTCCGGCCCGACTGTCAACCCCGGGCTCAGTCAGCATCGAGGCGGGAACAAAAACGACCGAGCCGTGGCGTGCGCGCCAGAGCGGGCCGAAGCGGCCACAGCGGAGAGGGCCCATCGCCGGTGTGCAGGGCAGCGCCGCGCAGGCGTCGGGGCGCCAGCGCGGAGCGTCGAAGGAATCGGCCTTGGCATCGGATCGGGCAGGCCGAACCCTGCCTCGAACTGGGCCTGGGGCTAAAAGATAGCAACACAAATACCCAAAACTGATGCAACAATAGTCAAAACATCGGCACCAGACTATATTTGTTGACCCTTTTTTTTTGACTGGTCCTCCTGTAGAGGGACATGCCCGACCGAAACCTGGGGCATGGGGAGGGGGAAACAAGCCGACATCGTTGCTCCTCCCCAAGCCTTCCCCCGGGGTGCGTTCTGACCAGAATGTGTCGAGGAACATTCAGCCGCGAAGGCGAGCGATCTCCAAGACGTATATAACGGTATCTAGACGAAGGCAAAACGACATAATCATAAACTGTTGGCGCTCCGCGCGGTCTTCTTGGATCTGCGCTGGACCCCCCTCCCTGGCACGCGGAGCGCCCGCGGGGGTGTCCAGCGCAGATCTGAGAACTCCGCGCGGAGCGCCAACACATTAAGTTTATGCCGTTGAAGAGCCTCCTTCTTCGAGGACATCCTCCTCCCCTGGATGTTCCTTGGTTTAGTTGTTCGCTTTCCTCCCCTGGAAGAGTGTACCCCTTCGAGTATACAAGGGCTCCCAACTTCGTGCTTCGCGCTACGCGAAGCGCGAAGTGCGAATCACTTCGCGCTCTCGCGCCGCATCCCAGGCGAGCAGAGGACGAGGAGGAATCGGAGCCGAACCGCGAAGCGCGGACAACTTCGCGCCCTCGAGAGCGCCTGTGAGTATACCCTTCGTTCAGCTCTCTGCTGCTTCCCTCTTCGAGCATCTCCTCCTCCCCGGAAGATCGGCCGCATCAAAGCGGGCCTGGCCTCCCGGGCGCCCGACGTGGCGGTCTGCTGGTCCTCGCTTCCCTCCTCTGGAAGAGCACCCTCCTTCGAAAACGCACCCCGTGTGGTTGCTTGCTGCCTCCCTCTTGGAGCACCTCCTCCTCCCCAGAAGATCGGCCGCATCCAAGCGGGCCTGGCCCCCCCCCGGGCGCCCGACGTGGCGGTCTGCTGGTCCTCGCTGATCTTCATCTGGTCACCCCATCCGCCCTGCGGGCGGGCGGGCGCGGTGCGCGAGGCCCACGGCCGCCCCTCTGGTCCGCCTCCTCCGGGGCCAGTGGGAGCTGGGGGAGGGGGGGTGAGGAGGGGGGAGGAGGAGGATGAGGATGAGGATGAGGATGAGGAGGAGGAGGAGGAGGAGGAGGAGGATAGGATAGGATAGCACCATGGCGATGTCAATGGAGGAGGAGGAGGAAGCGGAGGAGGAGGAGGAGGAGGAGGAGGAGGAGGAGGAGGAGGGGGAGGAGGAGGAGGAGGAGGAGGAGGAGGAGGAGGAGGTGAGATGAGATGATATGGGCAAGCGGCCTGAAGCCAGTTGCGCGTGGCGGGCTAGCCGCCGCCGTCGGACGTCTCCGTCGAGGCATCCTCGGAAGAGTCGAGGGGCTCATCTGACCCCTCCACGGCGTCCCTCTTGAGGACTAGCGCCCCCTCCGCACGGATTGCGGGGAGACCCACCTCCTCCAAACCGAAAGCCCTCAGCACCTCGGCTCGGGACGTCATCCCACACCCAAGGCACCCAACCACCGAAGCACCCCGCCGACACAGGAGTCCTGAGCCGAGGCACTGGGAGCCGAGGCGCTGGGGCCAAAAAAAGCAGCCATTCGCAACCGCACGGAAAGCGGGACACCCTCTGGGGGACCAAGCCGCAGGTCCTTCAGGTCTGTCTTATAGGATGGCCAACGACGCTATTTGATCAGACGCAGCTGCTCAAGCAAACCCGAGGTCGCGCGCTCACCAAGGCACCGCCTCACCAGGGCTCGCGCGGGCTTCTGACCGTCCGAGAAAAAAAGCGCCGCAGGCACAGCAAAACATGAACGACCTGTCCTCGTGGCCAGACCTGGCCGTCACGCGCGCGTGCAACATCGGATGGCCGTTGAAACTATAACCGACATCGCGATATGACTCAAAACCCTCCGAGGGCAGCTGCGGTGGGAGAGCCTCTGCTTCTGGCACCGGGGAAGGGACACGCTCGCCAGAGAGCGCGGCAGCTGGAGCATCGACACCAGAGCCCTCTCGGCCTGCCTTGTGCAGCTCCATGAGATCGGCATGGCCCTGGCCGGCCTCTCCCTCCCCCACCCACGCGTGCAACCGCCCGCTCCACTGAGCCGCTTCCCGAGAGGTTTCGACCAAGCCACGCCAAAGCTGGTACTCGTTCTCCTCCACTCCGTGGAGGGCGTCACCCTGCTTCTCAAACTCGTCGGCGGCATTGTTGCCGCGCTTCTCCCAGGGAGTCGTGCGATCATGTTGCACGTCCTGAAAGCTGATATGGGCCTTGGTCTTGTGGGCCGTGAAACCGTCAGCCCCGAAGGCCGCCCAGAACGGGGCCCACATGTGGGCCCTGGGGTCACTCGCCCCGGAACCAGCCCCAGGCCCCGCCAGCAGCGTCGAAACTGTACCCTTGCAATCAATGTACAAGCTGAACGGGGGCATCGCTACTTGGCATAACATGCTGACAGCAAAATATTCAGCCTCCCTCGGCGTCTGAAAGGGAGCTATATCACAAGGAACGGGCCCACGCGCTGCTGCCAGCACATCCCTGGAGCGATCGCGCATCTCCACGGACCACCCAGCTCGACATAGGAGCCGAGACGCTGGAAACAAGGCAGACCCGTCGAGAAACAGAAGACCCGACAAGTAGCCGGGCGCAGGCTTCTGAAACCAAGAAGTCGTTAGCTGGCCCTCGGGCCCTTTGACCTGGAAAACAAGGCCAGGGTCAGGGAAACGCCCCCGAGCAGAAAGTTCCCCCGCTTCAGAATTCCAGGCCTTGGCCTTCCGAGCCCTTTGGAATAACTTGGGGGGGCGCGTGGTCCCTGCGAAGGGCCGCGTGCGCATCGTGCTCATGGCACCTGTGCCGCACCGAACCATCAGGGTGGCCTCGCAGTGCGCAATTCGGGCTGCTAGTGAGGTCGCGTTTGTGCAATCGGCCTGGGACCACCGGGCGCCCGAAATCAGGGCCCTCAAGGCCCGCTGCTGGTGAGGAGTCCATCTCGCCGACGTCCCGCTGCGAAGCGGGCCCAGGCCGGGCCAAAAAACGGGGCGGGCCAAAGGGCTAGACTGGGCCTTGAGCGCCTGCCTATCAGGAAGTTAGTGAAGGAAGTTAGTGAAGGATCGCGTCCTGAGGCCCACCGAGGACCTTTTGGGAAACCCGCCCAGACGCCTGCACGCCTGGACGCGCAACTCGTCGAGCTCCGTCGGGGGGGCCCCCATCGCGCACGCGCCCCATAGAGCTGAAGCCGTCGGCCCCCCGCGCTGGATCCACTTCGCATCCGCCCCGGCCACGCGCAGGTTGGTGAGGCGCCTCGATGACCGGGCCGACTCGCTCCATCGCGCTCTGGTGATTCCTACTCGCCGAAGGGCCCCAAGATTCGCATCGGTCCCAGGGTTCCTGGTCGACTCAACCTTCCCTGAAGCTGGTAGAGACCATCTTCTCTCGAGCTCGTCGGCCAGAGGCGCGCTGCTGGCTAAGTACTTGCACTTCTTCAAGTGCACGGGGAGCTCGAGCTCGCCGAAGAAGCGAAGTAGGTGCTCCACCGCCGAGGGGAGATGCTCAACCACCAGCTCGCTGGGGCCGAAGCACTTGAGGGTCACGTCGTCGCCGACATTCCGGGCCTGCATCTGGCGCTTGCCATGGACAACCGCGCTGAGAGGGCCCAGAAGTAATAATTTCGCGAATGTCGTAGCCGCCGAACACCCTGCTACGATGGCCTCCGTGGCTCGCAGGAAATCAGACATGGCCCCATCAAAAAGCAACGTTCTGAAGCCCGAGTAAATCGTCAACAAGCCCCTCAGAAGCTTCAAGTTGAATCCAAACTGGCGGCCCGCAGCATAAAGATCTGGGTGACGTACATGCTCGTAGAACTTCTTCAAATCGAGCAGCGCCGCGGCACTACCCGCGCCCATCGCGCGGCAGAAAATGCCCATGAGGTTATGGATCCACCTGGCCTTCTCGCACGCAGTCGTCGGACCACCTCCCCAAAATCACTCCATATCGCGTGCCCGCTCCCAATCCCTACAGAAGGGGTTGTCTGAACTTACCCCAGAGTTTCATAAACAAGCATAATAACCCGATCGGCCGAACCCACCCTGCGGGTGGCGAAATAAACACGGCGTTCATGACGAGATCTGTCATCCAGGACGGGCGGTCCTCGAAGGCCTGCATGATGGAGAGGACACTGACCTGGCACTCTAGCGGCAGCTGCAAAATCAGCTCGGGGTCGAACAGGTCCAAACCTACGCCCGCCCCTTCCGAGTAAGACCGACCGCATTCCTGCAAGGCCTCCAAAGTGATCGGAAGGGGGCTCACTCCTGCCTACGACCCACTGAGACGGGTCGAGAGCATCGCGACCAGCAGGGGCCCACATCGGGAGCCGCTCGTCCAGGAGCTGCGCAATGGCATCGTCACCATTCACAGGGAGTCCTGTGGAATCCTGGAGTTTCGAAGGGGTCGCAATACTCTTCTTTGCATTGGCGTGAGCCGCCTTTCCCTCCTTCAGCGCAGCTTCCTTTGTCCAAATCCTCCACTTGCGGACCCGCTCTCGCGCGTCGGCTTGCTGGGGAAAGCGCGCAGAGTCCAACGACCTCGACCAGGTCGCGTCGTCACGAGGCCGCGCCTCGCAGGATATGCTCGACCACGGCGCGCATTGCGGACTCGCTGGGGCGCTCCACGCCTTCCTGCTGCTTCAGCGGGGCAGGGGGGTCATCGGTGGACATGGTGCCTAGCACGTCGCAGAGCGCGCTGGCCCATCTGGAGGCCGCATCCCAGCCTCGCCCCCCCCCCCCCCCCCAGGACCCAGCGGCCAGCTTCAAAACCCGCCAGGCCAAAGTAATGCCACCCAGCAGGTGGCTAACGAACTGCATCTCCTCCGGGCCGCCCGATCCCATAAGGTCTGCAGGGGCGCCGCGGGCGTTTGCGGACCCAGGCCCCGCCCCGCGCAGGCAACCTTCCGGTCGCCGCCGCGTCGCGGTAAACTCCGAGCCAGACCACCGAATTATTGAACCACTCCCGAAGGGCCACGCAGGGTCCAAGCCTCCAGTCGGCCAGCGTCGGCCCCAGGTGAGGGCCTATCACAGGGGCCACGGGGAACCCCTTGAACGCCTTGGGCTTCCCGAGCGAGGCCTTCCCCAGAAGGCCCCAAACAACCGCGGCCGCAGGAACGTGCAGCGACGAGGTGGCCGAGTCGAGGGCTACGATCTTGTGATCGCAGTGCCTTACGATCTTGGCACCTACGAAAAGTCGATCTCGCTCTGGTACGTCGGGCTGGAAAATCGCGCCCGCGCGCGTGTTGAGCCACCCCGAGGCGATCAGCTCCGCCGAAGTGCAGTTCCAATCTCCTTGGACCACCCGCGGAGAGTCCTGCCCCAGGAGATGCACGGCTAAACCCTGGAAGACTTTCTGGTTTCTTGGCCCAACCGGGCCTTCGTTCACTTCAAGATACACGGACACCACCCGGAGGCCGCTCGGAAAGCCAATGCCCCCCCGTCGGATCACCAATGGTGGCCGAACTGCAGGAGAGACTCATCGAGCGCCACAGAGCAAGAGTCAAGAGGGAACGCGCGGCTGGACAGCAATGGCAACGCATCCCGAGATCTCGGTCGCACCTGGCCCAGTAGGAAAAGCACGGCCTAACTGATCAGCGAGGCGATGTTTGCAGCCCCAACCCATCGCCTGCTCCTCCGCCGTCGCGACCTTCAGCCGCGTCTCGCGAACAGCATGCACCTGCGGGTAGGGCACGTCGTGCCCGACTGCCTACTGGAAGACCTCGTGGCCTCTGTTGCCGCACAAGTCGTGGACGCTCTCGAAGCTGCTCCACGCGTTGGCGTTCACGCCAAGAAAAATGAACAAGCCGTCGCCCTTCGAAAGGGTGTCGCCAGACGACCTGGTACTCCGCCTGAACAGAGGGAGAGCCTCGCCCACAGCACAACCATAATGTCCCGGACAAGTTGGTTTCTCCTCACCGTCGCCTGGAACGCGGCCGAGAGGACCCTGGAGACTTTGGCCTGGATCGCGGCGCGGAGCGCCGTGGAGTCTAGCCTGGATCGCAGCCGAGAGGACCCTGGAGATTTTGGCCTGGATCCCGGCCTAAAAGACTCTGGAGATTTAGGCCTGAATCGCGGTGGAGAGCGCCCTGGAAAATTTGGCATGGATCGCGGCCGAACCTCTGGCGCTCGAAGAGGTGCTCCTGCCCGTCCAGGCCAGCCGTCGCGGCCGCCGAACTGGAACTCGAGCTGCCTCTCGGAGCTGCGCTTGCTCCCAACCCAAAAAACTGCACATCTCCGGCAACGGTGGTTGCCTCAGCTGGGCACTCTCGGGCCGACTCGAAAACGTCGATCGGCTTGTTGGACAGGAATGGCGAAGCCGACGTCTGTCCACTCGACGTCCACGACGTTGGCCGCCCAGAAGCGCTCCGCCGCAGGCATCCGAACACGTTCACCGCCTCGTGGGGCTCGAAGCCCGCGGCGGCTGGGGGCCGCCGAGGCCCAGGCACGAAGCGAGGGCCAACTGCCATCACTGAGGTCGCCGAAGATCGGCTCATCGTCGTCAAACACGCTGCTTCTTCGCCTGGTGCTCAGCCAGGTACTTGGCGACCTCTTGCTGGCTATTCTCGCTCTCCATGGCGCGCTTAAGGCCCGCCTGGGAGTTCTCGTCCTCGTAGTCCGCAGCCGAGGGCACGGGCGCGCCTGGCGGCTTGGGTTCCCGAGGGCCTCCTGAACCCCCGCCGCCAGCGCCGCCATCGGCCCAACCAGGAGGCTGACTAGTAGCAGCAGCGGCGCGGTCGGCAGCCTCCTTCGCCTCGCGCTGGAGGCGCTGCAGGGTCTCAAGCGCGGCTTTGCCCTCGCCAGAGGCCATCACCGCCGGATCCAGCCCGGCTGTGCCGACGTCCGACGGCGACGGGGTCCTGGGCGCCCTGGAAATTGACCTTGCGCAGCTTTTGGCGTGGTGCTCGAGGTCCCTCCGAGCGTCTCCGCGCTGGGCCTTCGCACAGCAATGAAGCGGGCGATCTCCCGCTACTGCTCCTCGTACTGCTGGACTCGCTCCTCGAGCTTCTCGACCTGGCGCTTCGCGTTCTCGACACGGTGCCGAGCCGCAAGCGCCGTCGGCGGCTTCGACTCGAGCTCCCGGACCTTGGCCTCCTCAACCTTGGCGATGGTCTCCGAGTCGATGTTGTGCTGTTTGAGGAAACAGAGGATCTGGGCAAAAGAGAAGTCGCCACCTGCGCCGGCCCCTCCCGTGCTGGCCGGCGGCGGACTCCGGCCACCTCCTGCCCCATGGCCCCCCCCAGCGCCGCCTGCGCCCTTGGCCGAGAGCGACGACAACTTAGCCTTGAGTTCCTTGAAATCCTTGGCCATGCGCGCTTGCTCACCGACAGGGGGCCCGTTGGCCCATGCTCCACCAACGCGGCCGCCTGGGCGGGCCTCGGCGGCAGCGTCACGGGCGCTTTGCTGCACTCGCTGGGGCGCTGCTCCGCCACAGCCGCGACGCTTGAGCCGACTGGCCTAGTTGCCGCTCTCTCCGCACTTGCCACAACCCCAGACTGGAAACTTGGGGCCTGGCAGCACATCACCTGGGGTGCCCATGAACGCTGGTCCGGGACACTTAGATGATAGCTGATTGGCTCGCAGGCACGAGCACCACTTCGGAGTGCGCACCTGCGACACTCTCGAGTGCGGAATGGCTAGGAGGAGGAGGGTGGATGAGGATGAGGAGGAGAAGGAGGGGGGAGAAGGAGGAGGAAGAGGAACTTAAGGAGGAGGAGGAGGGGAGGAGGAGGAGGAGGAGGAGGAGGAGGGAGGAGAGGAGGAGGCACGGGAGAGGAGGAGGCACGGAGGAGGAGGAGGAGGAAGTGGATGAGGAGGAGGACGACGAGGAGGAAGGGGAGGAGGAGGAGGAGGAGAGGAGGAGGAGGAGGAGGAGGAGGAGGAGGAGGAGGAGGAGGAGGAGGGGAGGTGGAGGAGGAGGAGGGAGGAGGAGGAGGGAGGAGGAGGAGGAGGGGAGGAGGAGGAGGAGGAGGAGGAGGAGGAGGAGAGGAGGAGGAGGAGGAGGAGGAAGGAGGAGGGAGGAGGCGGGACAAGGAGGGCGAGGAGGAGGAGAGGGAGGAGGAGGCAAGAAGGGAGAGGAGGAGGAGGAGGAGAAGGAGGAGGAGAAGGAGGAGGATAGGGGAGAGGAGGAGGAGGAGGAGGAGGAGGAAAGGAGGAGGAGGAGGCGAGGAGGAGGAGGAGAAGGAGGAGGAGGAAAAGGAGGAGGAGGAGGAGGGGAGGACTGAGGCGGGGCCTGGAGGAAGTTCAGGAAGAGGAGAAGGAGGAGGAGGAGGAGGAAAAGGAGGGAAAGAAGAGGGGAGGAGGAGGAAGAGGAAGAAGAGGAGGAGGAAGGAGGAGGTAAGAGGAGGACGAGGATACATC